CCAGCATCCCATGGAGGTTGTGGACCCCGCAGGTGTCCTGTATTTTTAGTCTGGAGTCCAGGATGGGCTGCAGAGAGCACAGAGGGCTGGTGAGGACCCAAAGGGCCAGAGGTGCGTTCTGGGAAAGGGTCTGCCGTGGGGGACAATCTCGGGGGGAGAAAAGCCCCTCGGTGCAGCTTAGACATTCTAGGGGGCCTGTGCAAAGCAGGGCTGGGGAACCGTTTTTGGGTCGGGGGTGGCACAGGAAAATCAGTCGGGGGGGGCACACAAGGGAGAAACCACCCCACCAAAAAACCCTCCCTGACGTGGCCCCCGACTGAGAAGGAGAACGACACTCCCCACCCACATTCACCTCACACACCAGAGGCTTAGGGGGCCCAGGCTAGTAGATTTTCTGTGCTCCAGCCCCACAGTGGAACGGTGGGGCAGCTGGAGCACCAGGTTCCCCGTTGCTGGGTGAGGGGGAGCCCTGAGCTTTGGGGTCTGGATACAGGCAAGTCGGGGACCGCACCTGGCCCCTGGGCCTTAGGTCCCTGGAAAGGTGTGTCCCCACGGCCCGCTCCTCACAGCAGCTCTCCCCCGGCGTGGGGGTGCAGAGCGGCGTAGATGGCAAGGCCGGTCTCAGGCAGGCGGAGGAAAGAGGGACCTGAATCCCACGGGCGTGTTTCCAGAACATTTCCCGCACGGTTCTCTGCATGTGCTGCCGGAGCCTGACTCCATCGTCCTCCCTCCTGACAGAACCGCCGCCTGCCACCTTCGCCTGCGTGGTGCCGTGCGGGCGCAGACAGAGGTGGTGGGTTTGCAGAAATTTGGGGGGGTGCCCAGAACTCCCAGCCCATACCCCTCCCCCACCGAAACTCCCTCCCACCACCTGCCTCAGGCTCGGGGAGGGAGCTTGGATGGGGGAGGGGTGCAGGCTGTGGGAAGGAGTTTGGGGGCTAGGTGCAGGCTCGGGGCTGGGCCAGGAGGTGTGGGTGCAAGAGGGGCTGCAGAGGGTAGGCTCTGGGAGGGAATTTGGGGGTGGGGAAGGGATGGGGGTACGGGCTCTGGAAGGGGTTTGTGGGAGGAGGTGCGGGGGTAGGGGTGCACGCACTCT